CACTTAATTTATAATTAATCCCTGAATTTTTAGTGTAGTATAAAAACTATTTTCATCGAAAGTTTATTCGCTGCGATAAGTCCTAATTTTGTAATTTTGTTATTTTTAAAGGTTAAGTTTGACGCTGTAACAGAATAATTAGGAAATTTGAGGCTACTTAAAATAGTCCGATTTCAACTGGAGTTACGGCACTAGCGAAACTAGGGGTAGGCAGGGTAGGCATGGCCTAGGGGCCCCACTCTATGGGGGCCCCTATAGCTGCTCCAATTTTTAAAAAATTTGTTACATGTCGAACAGTGTCGAACAGAAAGCTAGGGGCAAGCCTTGCAGAAGGTCATGGAATATGAAATAAACAAGGGGAAGAGGAACGACTCATGCAATGTATTTGAGTGAAGCTTATGGAAGAGCTCAGCAGCCAACCAGCGGAGCTTAATATTATTTTGTTCTTCCTGCAAATGGGCGGCTTTAACAGATCGGCCAAATAACTGTGTGCAGTTTCAGCATGAGAAAAAGCTGATGCAATTCAATCACCACCACATGGTTTCCTTTGCGTGGCAAAGAAAAATACAGTTCCAGTCCGATCGATTAATTATCGATTAACCTCAATTAATTATTTAAAAAAGTTACTTGCAATTAAACAGTGTACCCCTCGGCAGTACATGGTAAGTACACATATCTATTTGCACATTAAATTATATAACACACATACACACATACTGTAAACATTACTTGAGCAATTTTTTTTTGAATTAAGACATTAAATACATCGGGTTAATATTTTCCAGCCTCCACGTGTCCCTGCCTTCAAATCAAGTGACCCAGCCGTGGGGGTCACCACCACCAAGGACACTGAAAATAACCTGTTGTAAATATCCAAGGTGTGCTAAAACAAACCATAAAAATCCGGAAGCTCAGTTTTATCAATTTCCATCCCAGCCAGACAGGTCAGGCGTGTTAATAAATTAAATGGAAAATAATTTTGGCATTCTAATAAAGAATATTAAGTTGCAATATTTTCTATCGCTTAGATTCAAGAAGTGGTGTGAGTATTTGGATCTCGATTGTCAAAATGTTCCCCCCGTCTCCATGATTTGCGACCTACATTTTAAGGATGATCAGTTTAACAATTCTAAGAAGACTAAAACCATCCGCCCTTCCATCAAGATTTTTTGTGTCGCAGGAGCAATTATTAACAGTTTCTACACCCAGTGAAATTATCCGACCTAGTCCCAGTATTAAATTCATCCCTATTTTACCAAAAGAAGTAACATCAATTGCCGTGTCACCGCCGTCGTTGGACGTGTCGCAGCCGGAAATTAGTGGAAGCTTCGAGTCGCCTTGCTCCCCATCGTCATCCGTATCTAGTCCTCGACCTCAATCCAACATTTGGTCACCTGAAACCAGTCCAACTGCAACAGAAACTTCGTCCACCGAGGGTAAAAGTTCAGTCAGAAAGGATTATGGAAAGTCTGAATGAAGTTATGAATGAGGCATACAGGACCAGTAGTATTAACGGGCAAAGACGCTTCACAGGATTGATTTGGAAGTAACCCAAAACTATTTTTATTGAATTTAACTGCAAATCCAGACATTCCTTGTATTGCTCGGTTTGTGAATGTCATGTCCATATATATTTTACTATTTCTGAAATAAACGTACGAAATGAGTGAAAATCTTTTTCTTTTTACAATCTCCAGATATGTATAAAATTAATTATATTTAAAGTATCTGCGACTAAATGTCCCACTAATCTCGAGTCATTTCGGTTAAACTGCTGGCAGCAAGCGGGTCGCTTTTGCACAATCAAATTGATGTTTCTCAGAGCTACATATTGCACCTAAAAATAATTCGAGAAGAATAATTAATATGTTGATATGTCTTTGTTTGTAATACAACTCAATTCTTTCATAAATGGCCCAAATGATTACCTCTGGTTCTGAAGACAACAATATACCAAACAACATTAATTCTTTAAGAAACTTTTCCAACCATGCACGTTGTGGCGACGGTGATGACGACGATAAGCCACGTTCCGGCGGCTGTGGCACGTCTTGCGACGGCGGAGACACGCCGGGTGTGAACAAACGGGAAGGTTTGACCTCTTGCATTCAGACGTCTTTATGTGTCTCAGTATTTCCAATTAATTAATTCCGCAAGAACGCAATTCCAATAGCATTTTATGCATTTGTCATGTTGATAGTAATTACAAAAACCACTAGGGTAATTATTTTTACAAATTTAATTGTAGTGAGAAATGTAAACACAAATTTTATGCAAGAGAGCAAGCATATGGTGAACTGATTTGGAGCGGAGGAGTACATAAAGCATGGTGGTGGCTGGCTGCCAAAAAACTGAAGCAAAGTGGTGACGGTGGTGGAAAAAGAGGCTGGACAAAATAAAATTAGACGAATATTACCGGCTCTCGTGTCTCTCAATGCGGCTTCACCGCCCAAGTTACTACAGTTCTTCCTTTAGAATCTCATTTTCCCTGGCAGGTCATTAAAAAAATTAAAACTAGCCCAAATTACGTTAAGAAATTCTGCCACATTTTGTTTTATAATTTTCAGTTTAAAAATGATAAGATGGGAGTCACCACTATGACATTAGATAGTTATTTTTCTACAGGCTATGCACGCATCTCCGAACTTTACCAATAGTTTTAAATATTTTAAATGAAACAAATTGAACCAGATAAGACAAGGACATGACACACATCTTGCCAGGATGATCCTGACGTTGATTATAGTTGGTTTAAAAATTACAAATTTACTTTGGTCGTTTAACTCAATTAGTCATATCTAGCAACTGCGAAAACTGAAACCCAATGCAATGACGCCAGCAGTGTCGCTCCGATTTATAAGAAACAATGATAATTAGGTAACCTTAGATAAATAATTAAACACGTGTTTAAGGATTTTTCATAATGCTCAGTTTAAACGAAATGACATATTATGACAATCTATGAGTGAGAATAAAGTTTTTGTACAGAATTACGTAATTCATGCTAAATCTGCACTAGTCAAAAAATTTAATTTTTCAACATTTCTTGTTTGTTGCTTTAAAAGTTTTTAGAAAAGTATTTCTATACTTGTATGGAATTAATTTTGAGTTCAGGAAATAATCATGGAAGTTTTATGGAAGTATTTTTATGTTCCTTCGCTCTTTAGGTAGCATCAAAACTGCATAATTTATAATCTTATTAAAATCCTAATTTTGACTGAAAATGTATTAAAAATTCAGAAAATAGTCGCCTTTATGAAAATGCTAAAGTACGCTAATTTCGGTGTGCGAGCAAATTTAAAACCGCAAAAAACGATTCATGTGCACTTATTTATGATGGACTCTGTAAGCGAGAATCTGTATTTTTGTCCCTCGCGAGAAAAAATTCGGGCTAAAAAATGGAAATTCTCGCTCATGGATTCCATCATAATTTCGTTTAAACTGAGAATTATGAAAAATCCTTAAACACGTATTTAATTATTTACCCATGGTTCCCTAAGGAGCATGGTTTCGTCAAAATTGTAGCGGGTCGTCGCATTGTGAGTGTAATCTGCCAGTTCGACAATCAGTTGTTGAATTGTGATTTTATTGAAACGATATTTTAATTAAGCCCTGGTCGTTTCGTTTACCCACACAGCACATAATTACCTTGCATTGAATCAAGTTTATTTAAAAACCAGAAAATTTTCCTATTTTCATAAGTTTTGTCAAATCTGTCAGGGACAGGGGCCCCAGCGAACCTGTGTCTACCGGCCCCAAATTTATAGTTCCGCTAGTGAGTTACGGGTTTCAGATATTTTATGAAATTATAATTTACAGAATTTTCAAAATAATTTTGAAAGTATTGCTGCAGCGAGAAGTTTTACACTCGGGACAACAATTCATTTTGCTCCGGTCTTATCTTGAATGTAGAGTTGGATGATGTGTGACAAAATAATTTTGAGATTTGCGTTTACTTCTTATAATGCGTTCCAAATTTTAGTATTATTTTTTTAAATTATAAAAAACAATTTTCACATAAATTTTATTTGCAGTTCTGCAGTAGTAAAGTACATTTTAGCAATTTGGTTATATATCAAATCAACTACAAATTTTTTTTGTGCACAGAGTTAGACGCGATCACAGAATAATTTGAAAATTTGTCGTTGTTTAATATAGTCAGGTTCGATCCGGACAACTGCGGTTCAGAAATTTTTTGAAATTATAATTTAAAGAATTTTCAAACCATTTTTTTCCACTGATAGTATTGTTGCAACGAGAAATATTTACACTTGGAGACAATTTACTTTGCTCCCTACTTATGTATTTTGAAGTTGGATGATATGTAATAAAATGATTTTGAGATTTGCGTTTTACTTACAATGGAGGTCTCCCAACGTATGCTTACAGATTTGGACGAAATTAGTGTCAATCGATCACAAATATAATTAGCATGAAATTCGCAAATGGAACTAGAGATCCCGTACTATATAGTGGCGATGGAGAACTTTTACCTAAAAATGGTCAAAAAATGATTCTAGAAATCTCAAATTTGGGGATAATATCCTAAATATATCCAGCCACAGACATTTGCGAACAAAGAAGACTGAAGTCCATTGTCAATCTCGTATTTAACCTTTTTCTTCACGCCCGCCATTACTGCTTTTTCGGAAGACTTTGCAACTTAAAGGGTAATTATCTCCTACCTGAATTGAAATTTTCTTAAAGTTTCGACTGTTTCACAAAGCTGGGAGTATGTCTTCTTACATATCGCCCAAATTTTGTTATTGCATGAAGATAATGGTTGAATGTGAGGTTTTCATTTTTCAGCGTCAAACTGATTTTTTTTCAATTTCTTCCTTGATAGTCATTGAATTATGGATAGGTCCTAGGTCGGTCCAAAAAATTACATTTTATATTTTCTGATACTCCTTGATGAAAGGAGTCAGACGGTCTATCTCACATTTTCGAAAACAAATTTGTTCCTCTACACAGCCATTTTGAACTGAGGGGTCCGAAACATGCCCAAATTTCCGAGCGGCTCTTCAAATGAAGGGTCCCGAAAGAGGCCCAAGGTTACACCCCCTGACACTTCGCGACAGGCTCCGCCGAAACGTCCCAACATCCGTGACCACAAATCTAAGGGCGGGGGCTCCTTACTGGCTATCAGGTTCTCTGATGGTCGAGGGGAACTTGGACCGAACGATATGGTCTCCCTTCAGCAACACTTGAGGGCTTCTATTGACAAAATTGGAGGTCCCAGTGCTCTGAAGTTCGGCGGGGTCAGAAGTCGGGGCGGGAGCGTAGTGATACAGTGCGAAGATGAGTTGACCAAGTTGTGGGTTCCTCAAGGAGGCCCATCTCACTGACTTCCTTTATACTTAAAACACTTGAAAAGTTGATTGATGACCATATTAGGTCCTCCGCTCTGGTGGAGAGGCTTAAAAGTGGTCATCAGTTTGCGTATATGAGTGGTCTTTCTACAGAGGATGCACTGCACAACGTCGTGGCTCGTATTGAAAGGTCCCTTAAATCCAGTGAGAGCACTTTGGGTGTGTTTCTGGATGTCAAGGGGGCTTTTAACGAGGCCCCGTTTGATGTTTTGCTTTCTGGTCTAAAGCGGCATAATATCCATCCATTATGCTGCAACTTTATTTCCCATATGCTTACATCTCGGTCGGTGGAATTTGTCACTTACGGTCAAACCTTCTCGAGGAGGGTGAAGAAGGGCTGCCCTCAAGGGCTGCCCTGGTATCTACACTCAGGGCTATGCTGATGACGTGGCGCTGCTCTCTTCTGGGTTTGATCTAAGCATTGTTCGTGATTTGGCACAGCAGGCTCTGTCTTTTGCAGGTCGCTGGAGTCGCGGAGTGGGCTTGTCACTCAATGACAAGTCCTCGTTGGTCCTTTTTACGAACAAGCGCAAATTCAGACTGAAACCTCTCACCTTGGAGGGGAAAAAACTAGAATACAGTGGCTCCTGTACCTATCTGGGGGTCACTTTGGATTCAAAACTGAACTGGAGACTGCATTGCGATACGAAGGCGCGGAAAGCCACCGTGTCTCTAATGCAATGCAGACGGGCTATGGGCCCTACCTGGGGTCTTGGTCCAAAAAGAAGTCTCTGGATTTACAAGGCGGTGGTTCGGCCGGCCATGGAGTATGCTGCGATGGTCTGGCTACCCGCGACCAATAAAAAATTCTGCGACCGGCTTCGGAGGGTACAGGGGCTTGCACTCCGCATGGTCACTGGTGCTCTTCCGACTACTCCGACTGCGGCCTTAGAAACCCTACTTGGTGTCCTTCCAATTCAGCTAAGACTTCAGGAAGTGGCTCTTCAATCTTATTTAAGATTAAGGGTCCGTGGTCAATGGTTGAACTGGGTTGGATACGGTCGTGGTTTGAAGAAAATCACTCACATTGAGATGTGCTCTAGCCTGGCTCAGAATATTCCTGAGTTGGGCTTTCCCTATGACTATGAATCTGTTAAACCTCCCGAGGCTCGTAATTTTAAAATACGGGTCGCTACTCGGGAGGAATGGCTAGATATGTACGACAACTACTTGGATCTACCTGGGCTCCTCTGTTTTACGGATGGGTCTAGGGGTAAGGGGGGATCCGGTGCAGCCTTCATAATTGGTGAAGGTGGTAACTTCATGGATGGGGCTAGTGGCGTTACACCTCTGGGTAATTATGCTACGGTCTTCCAGGCTGAACAGATTGGGGTTCTTTCGGCGTGCAACTACATGTCAGAAAATCCAAGTCTACACAAGGAAGTGAATATCTTTGTTGTCAATCGCAGTGTCCTTGATTCTCTTCTTAGTGAGCGGCTGGTTTCCTCCCTCACGGTTGAGCTTCATAGGGCGCTGCAGCAATTGAGCATTCACAAAGACATTACCTTACATTGGATCCCTTCCCATTGGGGTTTATGGGGTAATGAAGACGTGGATAAGCTGGCTAAAGAGGCTGCTAGTATAACAACATGCGGTCCAGAGCCAGTTATCCCTGTCAACTCAGCAATTGGAAAATTTGCAATAAAACAATGGGCTCAGAATGATCATCGGGTCTATTGGTCCAACTTACTTAATTGTAAGTTCTAGGGTCTAAGTGGGAAATCACTTGGGCCCACGAGGGATGGTATGAGGCTAACAACTTTTGCCATCACAGGACACTGTAATTTGAATGGGCATCTGTATAAGATGGGTCTAGTTGAATCTCCCATCTGCGAGGAATGCGGGGAAGGGGACCAGACAATGGCTCATATACTCACAGACTGTCCCGCTTACAGTGCCCTGAGATTTAGGACCCTCCTTCGTTCTACCTTAAGGGTGGAGGAAGTATGGGAGTATCCTCTCAAAGACGTGCTGGCCTTTTTAAGGTCTGGCAGATTCGCCAGCTTTGTAGCTGAGGAATCGAGAGAGGCTCCGACACAATAATCGCATGCGAGTGCATTGAGGTGTCTGCAATAGGTCCAACTGGTGACCTGCGCAGCTGGTTGTCTACCCCTATGGGTAGGAATCCTCCTCACATAATACATACATGCCCAAATTTACCCAACATCTGCCAAACTTGAAATTTCTTGAGAAATTTCGAAGAACATTTTAATTTCTTTTCGGTTTTCAGTTGAGAGATATATTTCCCACAAAAAAATTGTCTTCCCGGAGTTTCTGTCACGTTTTTGAAGCCGTAAGACTCGTCGCCAATGACCAACTATTTTGGTGAAATTTTGTTGTAAAGCTTGGGAGGGCTTGCGTTCACCATTTGTTCTTGACCTTCCGTATGCTTTGGTGCAGATTTCTTTGAATACGCTTTGACCCACAACTTATGAGCCTTGATATGATGCGCATAGTCTGGATTAATCTTCAAGTTCATGGTCGCATTAGGCACAAACGTGGATCCAGGGTTACAAGTGATATATATCACTGAGGAGGGGAGCTTGCGAGGTTGATAATAACAGATCCTGATGCCGTTTGGATATGTGGTAGGGTCCTATGAGTGTACTAAAACCCTCAAGTGGTTTGACTCCATAGCCACATTTGCGCCCGCCAGACCCACTCAAAAATGCCCAAATAACGCTTTCACTCCAGGTTTCACTCATTCAAATCCACGCCAAAAATCCAATTTTACTCGGATTTTGAAATTTCTTTCACCATTACACTCCCAGATAGTTGCTTTCTTCAATCCAATGTCAAACTCAATTTTGATGATGATTATTTCGCAGGCATAATTTGCGTTGTGGATTACTACAACAATGCTCATTCAGAATTTTAAATTTTAAAAATACTAATAATTTCGAAAATATTGAGTTTGATATCGAATTGAAGAAAGCAACTATCTGGGAGTGTAATGGTGAAAGAAATTTCAAAATCCGAGCAAAATTGGATTTTTGGCGTGGATTTGAGTGAGTGAAAACCGGAGTGAAAGCGGTTTTTGAGCATTTTTGAGTGGGTGTGGCGGGCGCAAATGTGGCCATGGAGTCAAACCACTTCAGGGTTTTAGTACACTCATAGGACCCTACCACATATCCAAAGGGCATCAGGATCTGTTATTATCAACCTCGCAAGCTCCCCTCCTGAGTGAGATTTAGTGAGATTTAATGATATATATCAATCATCTCACTTGGGGCTGAGTGAGAAATATGAGAAATAATGAGATAAACTTGTAGTTGATGACCACGTCCGCTAGGTGGCGCTAGTGCATGACTCATAAATCTCACTATATCTCATATTTCTCATGTCTCACTATTTCTCATTATATCTCAGTGAGATGAGATTTGTGAAGGTGAGATGAGATTTCTGCAACCCTGCGTGGATCCGTACTTTCCAAAAATAAATTTAATCGTTTTTTATTTTCAAGGGGTCAATATGATGGTTTTTTCTTGTGGTGCGTATTTAAAGTTGATACTTTCGGATTCGCCATACCTTTTTATGTATGTCCTAATTTTTGCACGACCACACCTCTCTCCGTTGAAATTTAGTCAAGCCTTCTTCAAGTCTTTGTCGCTCAGATTTTGGTACTTATTTTGGTACAAAAAACTCGTTTCCCGACTTCCTCGCTTTGAAGTTGCGTACGAAATTTGTTTTTGTCCCAAAATTTGAGATTTCAAGAATCATTTTTTGACCATTTTTAGGTCAAAGTTCCCCATCACCACTATATAGTACGGGATCTCTATCTGTCAATACGCAGGTTTGGCGGAGATATTTGCATTCAAAGCAGAAAAAATGCGCAGGAAATTTGGAAAATGAAAAATATGCCAGCCTTTTGGTTCGTTTTCTCCTCTTTTTATGCAAATATCTCAGCCAAACCTGCGCATTGGCAGATAGTTCCATTTGCAAATTTCATACTAATTATATTTGTAATCGATTGACACTAATTTCGTCCAAATCTGTGAGCATACGCTGGGAGACCTCCATTGTCAGTAAACACCGAATTTGAGTATTATTTTTTTTATAAATTATTAAAAACAATTTTCACGTAATGTTTACTGGCAGTGATAAATAAACCTTGCAATCATGTTAACAATAATTTTTTATATTTTTTATAGCCGGACAGAGTTTGACGCCGGAACTGAATAATTCGGAAATTCCAGTTAAAAATGTATTTTTCAGGTGTGTGATCGATTGACACCAGTTTGGTCCAAATCTGTAAGAATATGAAGAGAGGTCCATTCTAAGTAAGTCAAATTTGATTTTTAAGTATGCTAAAAAAATCTACACTGTTGTAAACCTGGTATAGTCCCGCGGGTATATATTTTTCGATAATAAAGCTAGTACCATCTTGTATCAAAATTATGCTGGTCGGTAAAAATTTACTACCGATATGGTAAAACTTTAATACCGGGCTATTACTACGTAGTATTAATTATCAATACCACTTTGGTCGAGTCATATATGAATACCGCTTGGTATTATTTTAATACTGGATTTCTAAGAGTGTATACATGGAAAACATTTTCTCAGATACTCATCTAAGTACGCATGAACTAATCAAAAATATCCAAATTTCTTTTCCGGTGTCAAACTGGGCTAAAAATAAGTTTGCGATCCAGTTAAAATTCTTACTTTGTGATCCATTGAATTTGTACAAGGCGGAATTTTAGATACACCTTAAATTAATAAACATTAAGTTTTTTTCATAATTTGTAAAGAAACGATATATTCAATTCACGGGATGGGCATAATATAATTACATAATTGCTTATGCCAGTCACGTGATCTCCTAAATTTGCGTGTACTTATTATCTAAATTATAGTAAGTATTTTTCAAATTACTAAAAACAATTTTCACGCAAAATTTAGTTGCCGTGATAAATAAACCTTGCGTACTACAACTAATTTTTTTAAAGCGGGCAGAGTTAGACGCCGTAACGGAGCAATTTCGAGATTGCAGTTGCTAAATATGGTCAGGTTCTATAATAACTGGGGCGATTTTGAAATTTTAAAAATACATTTTTGTAAAGTATTGTTACATTGAATAATTATTTATTTTGCTCCCAACTTATTTTGAACTCTTTTTTAATCAGAAATATGACTTAAATGCATAAGTAATTTTGAGGAATATCCCAATGTGCCTCCGCATTCGATACGAATTCGTTCTAAAGTCGTCGCCCAAATTCGGAACGCACTCCGGATTTGTCGCCCTAGTTGTGCCTGGTACGAATTCGAAATCCGAATTCGAATCGCCTGCGTAGGCTCGAACTCGGAACGAATTCGAAATGCTAATTCTGATCGTCATCGTGGCTTCGAACTCAGTACGAATTCGGGAGCCGACTCCATTCCGATGCTCTTCGGATTAGTGAATTATATATCTTAAAATATGCTTTTTAATAAAATATAAAGTCAGTGCACACGTTAATGAATATTTATATTTTTATTGAATGTAACAATGGAACTAACAAGAACTCGCTGTTATAAGGTAATCTAATATATTTAAACAAGAAATCTTCTGGTTCAAGTACCATATTAACCGGTTCTGATAAACCGGATGAAAAGTAAATTTTTAAATTAGAACTATCGAAGGGATAATATTGGACAGAGTGTAGATTTAAAATCTGTTGACATGTATATTCGACAGAATCATTCTTTCTATAAGTATAATTTTGTAAAATTACAATTCCACCAGACCTAAGCAGGAAGCAGTTATTTCCATTCTTACAGCTAGATTTAGGGGAGAATTTTTTATTCTCAGATATTTTTTGTATCGCATTCATATCTTGTCGTACCAAATCCATTTCTATAATCCGTTTAACTACTTGTTCTAATTGGAAATTATGTGAGCTCAAGAGAATTTTAATTTTCTGCATGTAGTTCTCAAAAGGAGAAGGATTTGAGATTCAGTCTTCAGATCTCGAACCAGTGTCACAAGTTCTGCAACAGTTTCTGGATTCGTAATCTCAACATAGGAGAAATTATTCGTCATTCGTTATTGCCTGATTGATCAAACAAATTCTCCTCCGCCTGGGAAGAATTATGAGATTGTGGGAGGGCCGACAAAGGCTGAACTTGAGAATTTGTGCTGAGACTAATGCTGGGTGCTGGAACATTACCACAATGTTATTATATAAATTTATCCCAATTTAATGTGTACTGAAACAGAATAAAAATTGCTCACTGGTCGGGATAAATGATGTGACCGGTAATGTTTCACATTCTTCAGACGACAAGCTGCTCTCGTCAGAACTGGTCGACTCGGAATATTTTGTAGAGGGAGTAGATTTAGCTGCGGATTGCCCTTTTCGCGTATTTCTCTGTTTTTTATGAGTTGTTTCCTCAAATTCTGATGGAGGTATCTTGTCGGTAGATTTAGCCGCAATACATCCTTTCCTTGCTGACTTAAGAGAATCTGCGAACCGACAAATGTTTAAATAATTGAAATTATATCTCTAAAGGTTAATATAAAAGTATTGAATCCCCAAATCTGCTCACAAAGCCAAATGCATGGTTATTGTATTATTGTGTAATTTATAATTTTTTTGTCATTACAATTTATATTCGATATTAAATTGTTATCAAATTACTTACTATAAGACATGAGCCACTGACAAGGGAATTTTGGCGCATCTAAATCTGCTGGAAGATTCTTACGCAATTTGTCCCCTGCG